CATACACTTGAAAAGTACTTTTAAAGCAGAGTAAAAATACTTCACTACTGTCCGCCTCTGTCTACTGTATATTAGGGCTGCAAAACGATTAATCACGATTAATCGCATTCAAAATAAAAGTTTATGTTTACATACTATATGTGTGTGTACTGTGCATATTTATTATTATGTATATATAAATACACACACATACATGTATATATTAAGGAAAAATACTGTATGTTAGATTTATATATAAATATTTATATTTATATATAATATTAATTATATACAAGTATAAATATATATACACACATAGTATGTAAATAGAAACATTTATTTTGAATGCGATTAATCGCGATTAATCGTTTTACAGTCCTAGTGTGTGTGTGAGTGTGTGTATACTGTATATATATATTTCTCTCTCTTCTTATGGTATAATTTTGATCATTTAGTGTATGTAAGTATTATATATATACATAGCATTTAAACAGCATAAATGTCTCACCTGGGTGGCCTTGTCCCTCATTTAGAGGGTGTGGTGGGCGGAGCTCCCGTGCCGCTGCCAGGTCCTTGATAAGCCAGAACTTACAGGTGAGTTGAAGGGAGGAGGATCCCTTATTGTTTCAGCTGGAGGAAGGGCTTTCGAAATGACCAGGGACTAAGGTAAAAAGAGACGAAAAAGAAGTATATTTTATATATAGACCCATAGAGTGTAATATATACTATATATATATATATATATATATATATATATATATTACTTTTACTTTTTATTCAAATGATTATTATTTCTAATGAAAATGTTTATTAAATTAGAAAATACTAAGATTTATTAAACACAATTTAATTTCAATAATTTAATGAACATGTTCATTCAAAATAATACTATCAGCATAATCATGTGAGTAAAAAAATGTAAATGTAAGAGAGCAAAAAAACTTTTTTAAATAATATATCATAATGGACACCACAAGTTTGTGCTAAAATGTCTTTTGCTCAACATGGCCAATTTAATTAGTGACCAAAAATAGAGCAGAAACTAAAATATTTCATATCCATTTTAGATTTTTTTTTTAAATCCTTTTTTTTTTTTAATCCTAGGTTTTTGGTCTCAGATTTGTTGATGACACTGTAGTTCTGAATTGTCACTGTGAGGTTTAGTTTAAACTCTCTCCATCATATCCAGTTCTTTTTACAACTACAGCAAGAAAATTAGCATTTTAGTGACAGCTGAAAAAAATTACAAGAGTATATCAAGAGCTAATGTGAACACCTCAGGCTTGGCGTTTTAAGTGGCAAATTAATTTCAAATGCATTTTTACATACTAATACCAAATGAGGCTTTGAACAAAGATGTTCTGATGTTCCGTTCCACCAATGAATAGAGCAGGGCAACTCAACACCATGCTAATCAATTTTCTCAACTTCCAAAATCGAGGGCAGCAGATTAAATTATGCATGCAATAGGTTTGTGGCCTTCTTTGTGAAAAGAAATTTGAGCCAAAAAAAAAAAGATTAGTCCTCAACAGCAAACAATGGCTTCTGCTTGACAGCTAGGCTTTGTCAGACAGTAAATTACTAACAACTTCTGCAGAACACTGAAGATCTTGATCAGGAGTGGAAAATCTCACCCCTGATCAAGGAGCTGGAATATCTCAGGAAATCAGATGACATCAAACTACAGGTTTCTGTAACATGTGTATAATTATGTTATTGAACTAGTTTAAAACTCTTATTCTATAAACATGCACGCGTTTCGCTGTTACTTTGTTTCACTTTATTTACGATTCATTTTGAAAATGACAGTTTGAAGTGATCTACGAGGGAGGGAATTCAAACAAACATTGGCTATTTTATCATTTGCATATTGAAATATATAATAAAATAACTGTTTGACGACTTGAACAAGTTACACTGAACACTGAAAGCTTTAAAACATCAAACAATTTCCCTACAGATCATTTGAAAGCCCATCCCATCCGGCCGTTTCATGACAGCACAGAGTTCATGCTCAAATCTGAGCTCAATCTATGAGAGATGACGGAAGAACCTACCGAAGAAAGGAGGAAGGTGAGACACCGCCTCGAGAAACGGCCGGGTTTCCACTTGTTTGTCGGCTGGAAGTTGCCGGAACTGGTGCTCCATTAGAAGAGCCATGATTGCCTAAAGTGGGCGAAAGTGAATTTTTGCCTACAACATAAGACGAGGACAACAAAGCAGAAATTAAGACAGAACCCGGAACTACCGCCGGACAGACAGGCACAGTGTTTACTATTCCACTTCTACAGTACTAGCGCTGCACTGCACAGCTGGACAGCCCCTACACCGCCCTTCGATGCAAATATACGCAACTCATAGCGGAAACGTTCAGTAGCCCCTCACTGCGGAACACAAGATCCAGGGGGCGTGGTTGGATCCAGATCCAACCCCTCCCACCTTACATAGGTGATACACCATATGTGACCCTGGACCACAAAACCAGATATAAGGGTCAATTTTTTGAAAAATCTAAATATTGAGAAAATCATCTTTAAAGTTGTCTAAATGAAGTTCTTAGCAATGCATATTACTAATCAAAAATTAAGTTTTAATATATTTACAGTAGGAAATTTACTAAATATCTTCATGGTACATGATCTTTACTTAATATCCTAATGATTTTTGGCATAAAAGAAAAATCTATAATTTTGACCCATACAGTGTTTTTTGGCTATTGCTACAAATATACCCCAGCGACTCAAGACTGGTTTTGTGCTCCAGGGTCACATATATTCTTTTCAGTACCCACACTTTACAATGTACAGTTATGAAAAATGTTACTGCACAATAGCCAAATGAAATTTTTTTTTCTGTTACAGAACCTAAATAAACCTAAATCTGCTATTTTCTTTATGCTTAACGTTTTGTTTTTTTTACTCCCACCATTAAAACGGATTTATCAGATAAAATATAAGTTAAAAAATATTAAGGGAATCTAAAACTAGTTTGTCCAATACACCAGTCATTTAAGGAGGTTATAGGCCTCTACTCATGACTCTGTTATCACATGAAACACATCCACGGAGTTTGATTTTCCCAGACCTGTGGACCCTTTTCACATTTCCGGGTTTCTCAGAAGCAGAAGTTGTCATGGTTGGGTAATCATCTATAGTGGTGAATGAGGAAAAAAAGAGGAAAAAATAGTGAGAGATTGATAATGGCAGTCAGAAGAGAGAACGAGATCAAATTTACCGTCACTCCCACAGCTGCTGTATTAGAAACACTCTCAGAGCAGCATTAAATATTTTGTAATCTGCAATGGTACTATAATGCAATGTATGGTGTTATAAATGTACATACATTTTTTCATATATATTTTGTAGGATTTATACGTTGCCAATGACCGGTCCATTTATAATTATGGTCTGTGCAAAATGCTGATAATTAGTGAAGTAAAATATTAAACAACCAGCTCTCTGTAGATGTTACTTCTCTTATTGTGGTTTAGCTTTAGGCTTTGTTGTGCTTGATATACCGAATAGACTCCATAAAGTCCCTAATGCACATCCCTTTTTCTCATCAACAGATGCAATTAATTTGCACTTACCTCTGAGATCAGGAAATGTAGTCAAGAGACCTGGAATCTCCCCCAGTGTCCGAGTTTGCTCAGCTGAGTTCGAGCTTAATAAGGCTCGAAGGAAGTCCTTCAGTTTCAGAATAATAGGTTACCCAGAAAAAAAAATTACTCGGAGACTTTTCCTTAATAAAGTTTTAACGCATCACCATTTGTAATGGTTTCGCTTTATTAGTACACAGTAACTCAGAAGTTAAAAAATGAAAGTAACAGCGAGTAAGTCTTCACCATCGGAGCGAGGCCTCGTCTGAAGCTCTCCTTGGCATTTTATAGCCTTGCAGACAATTTGCATTAACATCATCAAAAAGTTCTCATCTTAAAATCCATATTCTGTTGATATTCCAGGTCTCTTTGTCCGGCGGCGCCGCTCCACTTTCGCTTGCTTTTTGATTTTTCGACTTTCTTCCACCTGCAATCCTTCAATGATGAGATCATATTTTACTTGATTCTTGATCGCTACTCCCTAAAGAAATTATATCCCGATTTTGTGTATAATTGTTTCCAGTAGGGATTTGATCAGGAAATTGCATATTCCTAGGCCTATTTCTCCTTACAACATGTAAGGTCACATGTAGCCATTTTTAAAGAGTTACCTATTGATTCAACCACTTATTTGTATTACATATGATCTGTATATATTAATATTAATTTAAAATATATGCTTTATAATAATTGTTAAACTAAAAGTGCTTGTGTGTGGGATGTTGATAACAAAGCAATGGAGTAGAATCTTTCCCCTGCTCTGCACCGGGACGGCTCGCGGGAGAGCTCGTGGGTGATTCCTGTTTATATCATTAAGCAGAGGTTCAAACTCCAGTCCGAACACCACTGGCCACGAGCTTTGGGCTCTGCTCTCATGGAGAATATTTATTTATATAGCATATTTTATTTTAAATGAACTAGAAACAATGTTTAATTTATAAAGTTTTATTTTGAAATGTAAGTCAATAACTATTGGCTGGAGCCAGAGCCAATGGTGAAAGTCTTTGCGTGTGGAGACCCCGCCCCATTTTGGAAATCTCCGGTCTGCAGTTATATCTGCTTTGGTGTCCCTGCAGTCTTTACACTCCTCGGTCTTCACGCGACGGCTGCCGCGGTAAACTAAGCTTTTTTATACCCGTCTAACAAAATACTAAATTCATTCAGGTGGACACACTTTCCTTATTTTCTCCACAACAAATGGCCAAGCAAGCGCAGACACTTACAAGATAGGCGATACAGAACGAGACCAAACGCGATATCAGCACGTCTCCACACAGTAAACAAAACAAGCCATTATTGTATATTATTGTGAATTATAAGTATTTTAACAACTTTTGATACTTTTTGAAACTTAAACTTGATTTACCACATAAACATCTGCTACTGTAAGCGTTGATGTCATATTGTCGGCTACAAATCAGTGTAGAAATCCACAGCTTATCCTCCGCTTTGCTCTGTCAACTCAGACCTGGTTTATAAAAGTAAATAGTTCAGAAAATTTAACTGATCAGAGTAAGGTAAGAATGTATTAAATCCAGGAAGAAACATGAAATCAGTATTGTTACAGTATTTGGGAAGAACTGGGTTGAACAAGAAGGTATAAGTGTTGTTTTATTTATTTAAAATTATTTTTATTTTTTTTATTTTATTTTTCTCTCTCCTTTCAAATCCCGCTTAAGAGGGCTGAGGGAGGACGGAGGAGCTGAACACGCAGCGCCGGATGAAGCTCTATGAAGACTAAGCGGGTACTAGAATCAAGGGTGTTTGTATGTGGGTTGCTAGGTTAATCAGGAGATTGTAGATAGAGTGTCAATGGTCCATTTGAGATATAGGTGGCGGTAATGCACTTATAAGTCTGCGATCCGCCGTAAAGCAACAAGAAGAAGAAGAAGAACTCAGACCTGTTTGTACCTCACTACTCGCAGTAGGTAACCAGGAAGTAGCGCCGTAACCAAGTGGATCGCTTCTCTTTTGGTGTTTTGTTTAAGCGTCCGCGGTCGTTAACTGCTTTCCTCTTAACTACAGTTTTGTTTTCATATTAATAATTTGAATCAGGACAGCACCAGAAGTTAAACGCTTCAGTGCGGTAAATTCAAAGCTTTCAGCGGAAATTTTCAAACGGAGTTAGCAAGCAGAGCCTATTTTACGTCTTTTGCAGTGCCAGCGATTACAGTAAGCTTCAAACGCAGCATTAGATCGTGTCATCTGCAGTAATCATATTTTATAATCACAGCATTTTGTAAATTAAAACCGACTGCTTCAATGATTGCAGGTCAAGGTCTATCATAAAGGTCCGGTTAGAAATCAAACTTCAGAACTAAACTCTGCGACTGCCACTCCATGGCTTTACCGACGCTTTCAGCGCATTGGCCGGGTCGTGTGCGGGCTCTGGAGAGGCAGCTGGTGCGGCAGCGGGAGCAGGAGGCTTGCTGGAGGCAGCAGTGGGAGCTGCATTCTCAGTACTTCAGAGAGCAGGAGGTCCGCAGCAGCAAACAGGCGCAATGGAGCTCACGGCAGTCCTTCCAGCGCAGGTACTGATGGTGAATCTGTCTGGCTCCGGTGATGAATTTGTTTCATTATTCCCTGTGTTTGTTTGAGCTTATGCACAATGTCTATAACTGAGAACACTTAAGCACACAACATCATGGCCTGTTCTGGGGATCAGTCTATGTGACAATTTTCCCGCCAAGTTTTCAAATCATCAGACATTAAGATTAAGACAAACATTTCAGAACAGCATAATACACTTTTTAATACACTTATTAAAGTCATTCATAAAGTTAATAAATGTGACATGTTGGAATGTGAATTATTTGGTACTTTTCACACTATTAAGACTCTTTCTGAGAAGTAAAATCTTTGAAACACTTATTACAGTAAGTTATTAATGTAAATATATGGATCAATCAGAAGACAATGTGATTTAATGGACAGGTTTAATTGTGAAACTGCATTTTGGAATCAATTTGTTTTATTAAGATTTTATTATTATTACATTATTATGAATATTACTATGATTGGCTGATTTCACTAATACAGTGGATGATAAAACTATCAGAAAAATCCCATATATATGAACTGGCTTTTGCATCCAATGATGAAGACAATGTATCTATAACAAAGTTACAAAACTTCTTTTCTTGGCATTTTAGTATGTCAGCATTTCAGCGGGAGCGAATGAAGGAGGAGAAGCGGCGGAAGCTGGAGGAACGCAGGGAGCGTCTGAGGTTAATGCTCCAGGAAGAGAGAGACCAGTTGGAGGCCGAGCTCAGAAATGTTCGCCCAGACAGAGCCACACTGACCAGACAGCTAGTGGGAAAAACAGATGCCCTCCGGTCTGCCAGAGAAGAGAGGAGGAAAAATGTACAGTATGAACTCTTGTCTTAAAATTATGCTATGTTATACAGTTGAAAGTGTCTGATTGATTTTATTTTATTTTTTATTATTATTTTTAGCTTGCACAGGAGCTGCTGAGGGAACACTGGAAGCAGAACAACCCAGGACTGCGGAAGGTCAGTCATATATCAAATAAAATATATCATATAAGAATCTTTTTAAATTACATTTTAAAATATATTAAAATAGAAAATTGTTATTTTAAATTGTAGTAATATTTCACAATATTACTGTTTTTATTGTATTTTTGATCAATTAAATGCAGCCTTGATTAGCTTAAGAGACTTATTTCAGAGCTTCACATTTCTGCTTTTAAATCCCTCAGATT